AGCAGAGCCTCCGGCTGCGGCGGCTCTGCTCCTCCCCGACTCTTCGGCTCTGTTTAAGAGCCGAGCGCTACGGGCTTCGGGCAGCCCCCATACCTCCGGACCCTGCGCCGCCGGAGCCCGGGAGGGGAAGTGCCCGGCTGGGGGCGCAGGGTCCGGAGACATAGGGGCTGCCCGAAGCCCAAGTGCTACCGGCTTCACGGTTTGCCAGGCAGCCGACCGGGGGCGCAGGGTCTGGGGGCTGCCCGGCAAACCGTGAAGCTGGTAGCGCTCGGGCAGCCCTTTTCGCGTGGCTGGGAGTGGGAGGGGGAGGGGGGAGGAGTTAGGGTGGGGAAGGGGCGGAGTGGGGCGGGGCTGGGGGTGGGGAAATGGGCGGAGCCAGGGCCCGTGCAGGGTCCTCTTTTTTTATTTGTTAGATATGGTAACCCTAGAAAAACAAACAGACAAAGGTACATAAAATACTGACCAGCTTCCATACCATGATGGGATAATATCTTCACCACCACTTCAAACTTGCATGGGAACTTTATTTGAACACCATCTATTGCAGCTATCAAAGCTAAATCTACAGTTTAGCCATCACTGAGAGTTTGACCTAAATTTTTGTTGTTGTTTTTTTAATATATATATTTAAAGGCTGTGAGGGGGAGAACCGTGATGATAACCCAGACCAGAAAAATCCAAACACTTCCTTAACCACCTTTAATGATATAAATAATCTCAATTCTGAGAGGAGAAGGAGGAACCCCTCTGAAGTCTTACCTTTCATTGGGCTTACAGATGGTAAGTTAATCATTGTATTGAGAGGCAACAGGTTTTTCCATGTCCAATGCAAACTAGCTTCTCAAGGAGAAACCCATTCACGCAGGCACCATTGCATAATAACCTGACTTTGTTATATTAAAAAAATCAAGGGCTACACTTCTGTGCCCACCTGTTGGATGCACACAACTCTGTATTTGCATACACAGTGATATTTGAATGAATAACCTGTGTCATTGTATATAGAAATATATACTTAATAAAAATTGAATCTAAATTCTGCAGGAAGATATGGATTATGTTGTGCATTCATCCCATATGCACTCAAGATACACCTTTTGAAATGCATGTTTTTGCACACATAAGGAGTGTATATACATATTTTTGCAGATGGACCTTGCAGCATGTGGCCACATTTAAAAATTGGCTCTAAAATCTTAAGCAGTTACACGGAATAAATGAATAGCAGACAAGTGCCCAGAAAGTGGGAAACACTCAAAATTCTGGTTTATGATCTGATTAAATGCTGTCTTGAAAACTGAAAATTGTACAACAGATTAGAGTTCTTTAAAAAGTAGAGCTACCCACAGGTGAAAATTAAATATAAACCATGTGGCCAACTCTATGCCTTAGAAATGAGAAGGCAAAATTTAAAAAAAAAAAAAGTTACTTTTATCTTCTGATTTGTATGCCACTCATGATGGTTTTTGGTGTGACACTTCTGATTTTTAAATACTCAGACTTGGCAATACTGTATAAATCTGACCTCCATCTGTAACTTGTCAAAGTGTTGTATGGCATTTAGCCACCCAAAATCCTATCAAAATAACCTGTGACACTTGGAAAATGTAGCCATATGGATAATCAGGAAATGCTGCTAGTCCATTTCAGCACTAATGCTGTAACTGATGGAAAGGGTTAAAGGTGATATGTCATACACCTCATTCTGACTTTTGCTGGTTGCAAACAGACGAAGGGGAAGTTGAGAAAGTTGGCTCAAATCATCTCTTTTGATGGGAGCATGCCATTAGGGTTTTGTTGCCACTTAAATACTGATTGGTACATGATCAAAAAAATATTCTTTTCTATGCTCACAGTTATATTATTTGCATCCTAGAGGTGGGGGGAAGGGGACAAGAGTCAAGCTTCACTGTATACATGATCCAAATTGAACTATTTTTTTACAATAACTAAAGAAACCTTAATTGAAGAACTGCAGGCTTCAGTGATGTCCAGACCTTTGTCCTCAATTGCATTACTTAGGCTATGTCTACACTGCACAACTTATAGTGGCACAGCCATGCCGCTAAAGCCTTGCTGCTGTAAGGCATGCAGTGCAGCCGCTCTCTGTCGCTGGAAGAGAGCTCTCCTGCCGACAAAATAAAACTACCCTCGAGGATGGGTGGTAGCTTTGGCCTTGGCTACACTGGCGCTGTACAGCGCTGCAACTTGCTGCACTCAGGGGTGTGAAAACGCACCCCGCCCCCCCAAGCGCAGCGAGTGCAGAGCTGTAAAGCGCCAATGTAATCAGCACCTGCAGTGCCGCATGCTCGCTCGCAGTGCTGCAAGCTATTCCCCTCGGAGAGGTGGAGCTCTTGCAGCGCTGCGAGGGAGCTCTCGCAGCGCAGGTGGCGTGACTACACTCGCACTTCACGGCGCTGCCACGGCAGCACTGTGAATCCTCAAGTGTAGCCAAGGCCTTTGTCACCAGGAGAGCATCTCCCACTGACAAATCACTGGTGCTTTTTGTCATTAAAACTTTTGCCCTTCGGGGTGGGGGTGGGAGGTATTTTTTCACACCCTGAGTGACAAAAGTTTTAACAACATAAGTGCAGTGTAGACATAGCCTCAGTAGCACAGCATATAGTCTAGTCAGGCACTGTAGCAAAATTTTTTTTAAAGGGTCTGCATAACAGTGTAACTTAGCATGCATATGCAATTATAAATTCCAAGATAAAGAATCATTTTGCATACTTCTGGGCATGAACTACGGGGCTGAGAAGGAATCTCTCTAATGTACAGTACAGCACTTCAAAACTGCTTAGGTGCACTACGGAAGCAGGCAAGACTTTGTTCTCTGAAACATCAGCAATTCTCATTACCAGACAGAGGATACCACACTAGGTGGATCAGTAATATGATCTGCCTTGCAAAATCTCATGTTTCCAGAATTCCAGGTTAAAAATAGAGAAGCTTGAACTGTATGATATAACTCTTAATTGATTTGTTCTGTGTTTGTACAAGGCCTAGCACAACGGGGTCCTGGTCCGTGACTGGGGCTCTGAGCCATTACACTAATACAAATAATGAATAATTTAAGAATGCTGCACATGATGTAGCTTATTAGCAGGAACAAGCTACAATGTATGCACAAGAGTCAGTCATAAAAATCACATCACACAGTTAGAACTGCTCTATGAAAATAGATATGCCCCTCTGCATGGGGCCATGCTTGAAGTGTACAAATCTGAGAAGTGAGAAGAATTCAGAAATAAGTGCTTCTCTGGCATATGAGAGCCATTGCCACTCACCTTAAATCTTCTTATGAATTCTGTTCTTCCCAGAAACGTTTGCTTTGGTTTGATTGTTATTAAGGCAACTAAAAAAAGACCCCCACACACTATCTAAATATGAAAATACTCTTCATTATGTGAATATCGAGGGAGCTGTGTTGAAAGCTATTGCCATGATTCAGAGAGCACGTTCTTGTAATTATTCTTATACTTCCCCGCCTCTTTAATGGAAAACATACTATAAAGAACTCTTCAGAGGTCAGGCTTGATGCATATTAGTGGGTGTTGCTTGTGCTATACCCTGTTCTGTAGATAAATGGGACTTAGTCTCCATTGTTTTAATCTAGCATATTTCAGAAGCCCTTATATAATCTCTGTACTAACACACATTTTAGATCTTAAAATCTGTGTAATATCTTCCTACCTCTGTTATTTCATTTTGGAATCCAGTCCTATCTGATCTACACTTCTGAACTTTTTTTCCATGAAAGATCTCTAGCATTCTGCTGTAATTTGGCACAGTCCATATTCTCTCTGTCAACCAAACTCTTTTATATTCTCAATAATTCACATGTAAATATCTTACCAACAGATGCAAATGTTTTGAAACACTTCAGAAGAAGTGAGGTTTTTACCCACGAAAGCTTATGCCCAAATAAATCTGTTAGTCTTTAAGGTGCCACCAGACTCCTTGTTGTTCCTCTATTTTAAGCAAGTTAAGTGTTTGTGAAAGGTACTAGATTGACACCTCTGGAGACTGAAGTCCTCTACTAGCCACAAAGCAGGCAAAACTGGGCTCTAAAAGGTACCACGTCTGTGAAGAGACACCCCCAAAATTTTTCATATGATAGGCACAATGCAAGGTACCTCTGGGGGTTCCAGGCTGAAGTTTCTTCTTCAACAAGACTCCCATCCAGAACAAGGAAAGAAAACAAAGTCACCCATCAAGACCCATCACTGGGCCCTAAGTAAAATCCCCTCATGTCCACTTTCCACCCATGGTTCCCTGCTGTACCTCTCCCAGAAAGCTCCCCAACACAGGCACTCACTGCAGCTCCCTGAGCAGGTCTTGGGGCTGTTGCTGAGTGAATCCTGTGGGCGGGGCAAGGCTCCAGCAGGTGGGAGGGGTTGCCGTGCCACAGGAGCTAGCCCCACAGCAATGACGAGGAGTAGCACTAGTCACCGCACTGCCCATTCAGGTTTGGCACCCACTGCCCTCTGTCATCACAGGGAAGTAGTGGGATCAGACTTGAGTGACATTGAGACCTGGTGCATGGAAGTCACAGCGATGCTCATGTTTGGCCCCATGGCCCATTTGTCATAACCTGAGCAGCAGCGCTGCAACCCCCGTGTGCCAGGTCGCAATTCTATTGGTTTTGGCTCTGGTGCTCCCCCGTCATGACTGAGGGTTGTGGGGCCAAATTTTAAAGAATAATGGGGCAGCCAGTACTGTTCCTCCTCACCACTGCTGTGGGGCTGGCTCTGCCCCTGACAATGGTACACACCAGGCATACTGCTCATATGGCTGCGGGGATTCAGGGCCTCTGTGAATGTGTGGATAATCAAACCTTGATTTAGGAAGAAATTAACTTCAATCCTCACTCTATTTGAAAAGACTAACAAGTTCAACCAACTGTAGTGGGTTCTTCCCACTGGACAGGTTTATTCTACAAAGAACTGGAACCTAAAAGCCATCAGATGGTAACTCTTTACCAGACAGATTCCTAGTGGTGACCTAGCTGTGTATGGCAAGTCTCTCTGTTTGACAGTCTAGTTCCTTGGATAACTTCCTTTCTGCTCTCTCTACTTTTGACTCAAGCCAGAAAACTGAACAGAAGCTGCTGTCAGAATGGAGGGACCTGTTTCCTGGGGAGTTTTTGCATATGTCCAAAACACTTTACTGGCAGATACTGTGAACGTGATAAACGGATCAGGTAAGCAACAAACAGGGATTATCTCCCAGTGAAGGAGAAAGAGGAAACTCAATTTTCAGTCACAGCACTCCTGTTTATGGAATCTTTTTTCTCCTCCTGCAGTAGCTGTGGTGCCATTGGCCATGGAGAGTGGACCCAAGAAGGATGTTTATTCTGCCAATGTGTTTATGGGATTCTGCACTGTTTCCCTCAAAACCAGGAAGATGGTTGTGGTAAGAAGCATCATTATTCCTTTCTAAAGCATAATTCATGTGCAGGTATCATGTGACACATAATTCTTGTGTCACATCTCTAGTGCATATTTTTACTATTCACAGCTCACCTCTGTCATATTCAGTAATCAGCTATGAAGGGAATAAACACTTGGGCAGTGTCAGGATTATTCAGAATCGTTCAAGAAGCAGCCCCAGGTTTCTCTCAAGACAGGAGGTCTGACTCAATGAAAGGAAGTCTCTTGAGTTCTGACAAATACCAATACTGGGAATAAAATGAAAGAAATGAGGATTCCAGATGTATAGTATAAGGGGAAACTTAACATTTTGCCTGGACCAAACTTAAACTTGGGGTCCAGCTGAGGTGGCATTCATGGTCAATAGGGATGAGTGTTGGACTATATTAGAATGAGTTTGCTCTCAATCCAGAGGCCAAAGATTACACTGGCATCCCTACATTAGCCTTCTTGACAGAAAATTTCCCACCAGTGCCAACAACACTGCACCCCCACCAGTCGTGGGAGTGCTAGGCCACGTTTACATTATGGGTGCTACAGAGGCACAGCTACAACTGTAACACTGTAGCGTTGGCGATTCTACAGTGACCGAAGGGTTTTACCCACATAGATGGAAAATCCACTTCCCTAAGCAGTGGATAAGAAGTTGACAGAAGAATTCTTCCATTGACCTAGCCATGGAGGTTAGGTCAGTTTAATTATGGGACTCAGTGTTGTGAATTTTTCACGCCCCCCTGAACACCATAACTATGTCGACCTAGACCAGGCCCTACTTGTATCCTGCCCACTGGCAGTGTAATCATTCTGTCATCTAATCCTGCGCAAATTAGATCTAGTTGACACTGTGATTAACACATTGACAGTTGCTGGGGTCTTGTTTACGTTGGAGTTCTCACTGTTGCTATCATCAGTGGAAACCCACCAGTGGTAGCAATGATGGGAAATTTTACAAAGATAAGCGTAGGGACTTGCCTTCACTAGAGGTGACCCCTCTAGCTCAGTGTGGAGGCACGCTGTCAGGATATTATGGGAAAGTCTGTACAATCTCTGACCACAATGGACTTGAACAGTGGATAAATAAGAGATTTTGTATGTCAGCACCTTTCAACAGCACTAAGTTCATGTTAATATTTTTGGTTTTTAAAGATTTGGATAAGTATCTAGAGTGTGGGGTGAAATACTAAACCTTTCGGAGAAAGTTAATGGAGTGAGAGTGATGTTCAAGAATTCCTCAGTTCCCCTATAGTCAGAGGTTAATATTTTTTAATTTAACAGATCTCTCTGAATTGAGGGGGAGTTACAGGGTATACTTCTTTTCAGATTATATATAAATAATTGTGACCTATATTTTATATGCATTATGTATACAAAGTGTGTGTATATGTGTGTGTGTGTGTGTGTGTGTGTGTATATATATATATATATATTAATAAAATATATATTATGTAGTAATATAGATATATCTATATATATATATA